ACCTGGAAGAAAAAAAAATTTTAAGGGGAAGAAAGGGAAAAAAAAAAAAAAAAAAAAGTTTTTTTTGTTTTTTTTTTTTTTTTTTTTTTTTTTTTTCCCTATGTCCAGCTGAGTCTCTTTCAACCCCCGTAAGCCGCGACAATAATGTTTCGGAGTAATTTACTGCGCGCTGCAACGCCTACATCGCCTCATTCAATTTAAAGGGCGGGTAATTCAATCACGACAGCGTGGATTATACAGGGCTTACAAGCGGCGCTGTGTGTTAGAGAATTGGAGATTGACGGGATTGTTGGGGTCTGATGGTTTGGCTTCTGTCTCCTGCAGGTGTAGTCGGGACAGGAGGGACCGGAGGATTACACCGCAGTGAGGAAGGACGGTGGGTGGATTAAAAACAACAAGTGGGGCAATACATCCACTTTTAACTCCAAACATCCTAAAATAACAAATTGCCGTTTTCAGATTTAAGCAGGATAGTTTTTATCTTCCTTTCATTTTTTTTTTTTAGTCTAACGTGGACCGATGTAGATGCTGCAGGTTTTGGTTCGGAATCAGTGGGAAAACCGACGAAGAGGAATGAAAATGAGCAGGAGTCGGGAGATAATGAAGCCTCTTGTGGGACTGCTCTCTGACCCAACATGTTTTTAGAACTGGACGGCTGTATTGGCAGGTTGCATTAGAAGAAGGCGAGCTGTGATTAAAGTTTCATTGTGACGCCTGGGGATTAAAAGCAAAGCGAAGGTAAGAAATAAAACAGCTTTAAAAAAAAAATCACACAAGTTGATTTTTAGCGCAAAACAGAATATTATGAGACAGATTATGAACTTTGAGACCATATCGTGTAAGTAAATTGCTTTTTGTTGTTGTTTTTTATTATTATTTTTTTTTTTTTAGGAAGCAAACAAAGGTCATTAAAAATTTAAGATACAAATTCAACGCCTGGGTTCTACCTTGTATCTGAAGGCGCTGCGCAGTCCTCCCGGCTCAGCAGCAAGAATTCCTCTGATCTCAGCTCCTCTTCTCCTAAAACACCAGTTGAAAAGTTATATATCCTCTTCCACGGAGAGCGTGAAAAACAAAACTCCAGACGGAACACCGATGTAGTGAAGTGGGTCGTTCCAAAAGAATTTCCACTTGAACTTTTTGTTGTTGTTGTTGTTTTAAGTGTGGCAGCAGAAGTGATGATGGAGTCTCCTCCTCACAAATATAAAAAAGTGGAAAAAAAAGAAAAGAAAAAAAACTCCTAAACCTTCTAAAAAAAATGGAACCCAAGCAAGTCCCTTTAAAAATATAAATATACACCCTACACCTTGACTACTCTCCTTGAATTCACTGAGAAAGGCGTGGTTGAATTGCTGCCTCTCTCCTTCTTTGGCCGGTGACAGTAGAGTGGAGCCTCTCTAAATGATGCGCTCTGAGAATGAGCTCCCCTCTCCGCTTGTTCAATCAGCACTGTGTCTGTGGAGTCCGGGGGATGCTGGCCAAGTGGAATGTGTGCAGACTGAGAACGACCGCCCCTGTCTGTGCGTGGAGAGAGAGAGAGAGAGAGAGAGAGAGAGAGAGAGAGAGAGAGAGAGACAGGCGCGGGGATGCGCTCAAGCTTCACAGCTCCACACTGAACAGGTTGTCAAAGAAGCATCACTGCTCAGTGCTCCCACTCCCAGTTTGTTTTCCGCTCTCACTTAGGTTTCCACAGGACGCCTTTGCCATGCCAAGGGGCGCGGTAGTCTTCCTCTTTTTCAGTCTATCCTTCTATTTGGTGCTCGCCAACAATCTGTGCCAACTGAAAAGCGCTCTGAAACTTCTTTACTTTGATGCAGGACTTCCAACAACCCCACTGCGTAAACCCGTTTTTAAGGCAGCAAAACAACAAACAAACAAACAAAAAAAAAAAAAAAAGATGACTGACCTAGTACCGGTGCACACACCGACTATCTCCCCCCTTCGTCCACCCCCGTTCAGTTCCTCCTGACGCCAAAGTTGTTCGCGCGACTTCTACGTGGGGCCACAGGAGGGCGCGTTTCAGCCCACAGCCCCACTGACAGGCGCGTGCAAACAGTGTGCAGCTCTGTTTGTCCTCGAGGTGATGGGATCTGAAATCAGCTTGTGTTGAGAGACCTCTCCCTCCGACAGACGAGTTCAGCTCGTCACTGAAAAGGTCCTCCGAGAAGAACTACTGGATGCTTTAAAAGTGACTTTTACTCATCCAAAAGTAAAGTTAAGGAATATCTTATTTTCTGTAATTTAATAGATTAGCAAAAAATAAATAAACACAAAAAATAATGAAAGTCTGACTTAAAGGATGTGAATTTAAAGGATCTGGCTTGTAAACTCTTCAGTCGTGACATTAATCCTTAATGAATTTAAACAGTCCATTGTCATATTAACCTCCAACTGTTTCTAAAGTGTCAGGAGTATTATTATGCTTTCATTATATACATGAGAGTCTGAAACTGAAATAACAGCAAATACATTAAGTACAAGTAGGTAAGTTAATTAATTTATTAATTTACATAGCCCTTGAGTAAAAAAAAAAAAAAAAACTTCACAAAAGAGGAAAAAATAATACCCAATTGAAAATTATCAAAATGAAATCAAAGAACTCTTGTATAATTTTGTCTGAATAGTTGCTTATTCAGTGGCTTTTTAAGTAAGACAGAAGTGTCTATAGAAACTTCCTCCATCTCGAGGAAGTTTCGAGACGGAGGAAGTTTCTTCCAAAGTCTTGGTTTTATGGGCTAGAATGAATCCCTGTGAACACAGGCAGATCCATCAACGACCTTTGACTTGTTGATTTCAGGAGGAGGAATGTGGTTTCAGCAGATAGTTGTACTGAGGAGCTTGACCTTTTAAGGTCCTGAAAGTTAGAACTAAAAGTTACAAATTAAGGCCTCGGGGCTGTGCGTTTTGCACTTTCTGAACTCGGTCTAAATTGGAAAACACACCTATCTTTTATTAAAAACATTAAGAAATATGACTCCTTACCAGCAATGTAGAAAATGGTGTGAGTGTTTTTTGCAAACTTATTAAAATTAGACAACCAAGAAATCACATTTATCCAAATATTCCCAGTCTTTGCTTATTTATTTTTTTTTATTAACCTTTGGCAACAAATACAGCCTCAAGTCTTTTTGAGTAAGATGCCACAAGTGTAGCACACCTATCCTAAGGCAGTTCCACCAATAGTTCGTTGCAGTACTTCTCAAGCTTCCATCAGGTAGAAGAGAGGCATTCATCAGATTCAAGATATTTGCAGTCTGAAGCCACTCCATCACGTGCGTTGGGTTATGACAACCGGACATTTAACACAATACAATTTAACATATTTTTGGAATAAGGCTGCAACATAAAATATGGAAAAATTGAGGCACTGTAAATACATTCCAGATGAATTGTATTGCATGAATTGCTGATGAATATCTGCTGGCCAGGTAATTGTTGTGCTGCACTTTGCTTCAGGTACTGATTTTGCAGTCTCAGGATATTGAGTTCACCATTTTTTTTGCATATTAAAGCATGCAGCTGCAAGCCAGATTAATCTCTCCTCAGACCTCTGTACTTCTCAGATCTCTGTGCAAAAGTTAACCAAAGAAAAGATTTCTTACCGTTTTATTTCACAACTTTATGTCTTAAAATAACCAAAAGTTGATTTTGTAAGAGAAATCATTCTAATGTGTTTTGTTACATCTGGCATCTTACAAATAGCGTTAGCTACAGTGTGTGTGCTGCTCTGGGTGAATTGCGATTAAAGGTCCTGTTTTTCAGCATGAGTCATCTGTTCCTGTAACCACTTTTTATTTGGTTTCATGGACAACTGACTCGGCTGCCCTAATTGGTAAGGAGGACCGACTGCTTCCACCAACATGCATCCGCTAACTGGAGATGACCGTTGCTCACTAGAAAGAATTTCTAAATAATACTCATTCTTTATGGAAACAGCTCCCTTTTACTTTAAAATGTATGAACTTAGAGCGATCAACCTTACAAATATTCACCTGTGCATTCTGCAGGAAATTCTTTGCACTTTGTACAACTTCTGTAGCGAACGGGCCATTCTGCAAAAACAAAGTAAGGAAAACATGAAAAACTGAAAACCTTTTAAGTAAAAACTTAAATATGCTCAACTGCAACATATTATCCATGCAAAATCTTTGAAATATTAACTTGCTTTACTTTATAAACTCAGTCTAAACTACATATTTCAGAAAAAAGGATTGCTTTATAAAGCAATTTGAGAGAACTGATCAATATTCATAAATATTGGATGAAAAGTTTTTTGATAGATTTGCAACCTTATTGTTCATCTTTCTGTGTCAAGCTAATCAATAACATATGCAGCTCAGTCATTTCTGGGCAACAGTGCACCAAACATTTTGGGATTCATTGTGACATTCCTAAACAGAGTAAAGACTCTGCGTCGTTACCCAGCACCCTCTATTCAAAAGGACTGTATACTCTGAGTAAACAAAATTATTGAATCTGGCTCAGAATTCTCATTTCTTCTTCTTTCCTTTCCTGATTTCATCTCTCATGTTGGACTTGAGCCAGCAGTCTTGGCATGTCTTCCAGAGAGCACATCATAGCCGCTCAAAGCAGTCAATTTCAAAAGACAACATGTTGTTGGAACAACCTTGGGTTAGTGCCACACAGAGACGCAGCAAACTCATCCAGAATGAGGAAGTGATAATTGCAAGGGTAGCAGTGAGCAAACAAAGAAGAAGACCAACTTATTACATCTGCCAATTTTTATGCTGTTTTTTTTTTTTCTTTTACAATTTCATGAACAGCTTTTAGTGACTTGCTCGATGTAAACTATTTGTTCCCGTTTATGCAGTTAGTCTCATAGTCTGTCAAAATCGGTTGAATTGATAAATTCTACAGCTTCTCACTGAGAGCCCATCATTCCAGAAAAATCTGGAAATTTCTAGAAATGTCCTAGGATTTTAAATGTGTTCAAAATTAAATGAAGAATGATTTAGATTAAATCAAGAAGTAGATTTAACATTAGTCGATTCAGTGCTAATCAAAACAAATGAAGACAACAAATAAATCAATACAACAACTGAAATGGGAAATGCAAAAAGAAATGCTCACGTCATTATATATTAAAGACCTGACACTGACAAGAATTTATAGGTCTCTCAAAATCCAAAAAATAGGTTTTATTACATTATTCTCGGAAAGTAAAAAGGGAGGTAGAAAAGGTTCTGACTCAGCCTTGCTCCCTGATTTTTTTTAGCGCTACAGCAGCCGAAACACAAAGGAAAAAGTGCCTTATATGGTCCAAAGCCAAGCTGTTTTACCACTCTAAGCTTGCTGCACCTCTGCAAGTGTGTGACCCCTTTCCTTTTGTCTCGTACTCCCAGAAAATCTCTGCACAAACAGTGTAGTGTGGCTGCAGGATCGCTTAGATGCAGACTTTTGTCATTTGACAACAGGATGAGGGCAATCTTTAAAACACAGGGAGAAACAATTGTTATAGTGGCAAGCAGAATCTCCCCTTAGTAACTTGCTGAGCTTAAATCGAAGGATTCACTGTTTTATGAATGGACAAAAAAATTAAGTTTTGCGGAAACTTAATGCCTGAAATTCATAATAATGGAAACAAAACACAAAAAATACAAACATAACAAATTCACTGAAACTAGCTTTGAAAGACTGATTCGTCTCTTCTTTGACTTGGACAAAACATTAAATTCTAATGCTGCGTTTCAACTATGTGAGAACCTCAGACCTCAGCTCTCTAAGAAGTCAGCCTTCAGCAGGGTGACACCCTTAAACATTGTTTGTAGTACCTCTAACTAATTTTAGGCTTTACTTTCCACAAGCAAACACCACTTTCAATGCTCCAAGTCTATAGTCGCAGGCACTACATGTAACATCAATTTTAGACACTCTCTTAGGTGTCTTGTAAAATAAACATGTTTCCACCACATCTTACTACTTTTGATGCAAGGAGCGGCCATATTGAAACGTGAAGTCAGTTGGGGGTACTTGGAGGTGCTCCCAGCTCCCAGTGGGAAATCTGACTATGGAGGGTGTTCCAGTTGGTTTTTCTGACTGGGAAGTTGGAATTTCCTAGTTCCGAGTACAACTGGAATGCAGCATAAGATCCTTTCTAAATACAAATTCAACTTCTCAAGAGCCTGCTCTTCAAGTGTAGATGCCTCACAAGGTATTGTACAGCAATTCAGCCTTCGGGTAAGAGATATATCACATTATAAATTTAAAAAGTGCAAAAGGAATCCAAGTATTTTGTCCCTGAGCGATCACTCTGAATTCCAGAAACTTTGTAAAAAGCAAATTATCACTGCAGCCAAGGTATTTATTTCATTACTTTGGCTGTTTTCCCATTCACTTCGCTGAAGTAAATGCAGAATTAAGTTTATGTGTTAAAATTATGAAATGCCATGAAGGCTATTCATAGAGTCCAATGAATGGACAATTGAATTTACTTTATTACGTCTGGACAGCTTGCAAAATTATGTTGTTTGGTTTGTGCTGCCCTCTACTGTGAAGGTAATGATTCTTTGACGACCTGTTGGTTACTTGATCATAATAAGGAAGATTATCAGATATTATATGTTGTTTCCATCTTACCTTCATTCTTTTGTCCAAGATTTTTGTGTCAAACCAGAACAGAGGCCTTCCAATGTCTTATATGCAGAGGCTGATTTTGGGATGTTCCTTTTCTAATGCAGTGCTTAGGGGTGTTTGTTGTTTTTAACACATTTTTTAAGAAGAGATCAAAATCAGGTGTATGCAACCAGACAATTTGATGACATCATGGTTGTGTCAATGCGTTAGAGTGTTGGTTAATATTATGCAAGTTGTTTATTATTTTTGTCTTTGTTATTGGGATTGAATACCAATTTATGGTGGTAAATGATTGCAGAGAAACATAATACATTAGTTATATAGAGCTTATAACTTAAAGCTTGTGAGGATTGTGCAGCCTGGGCCACGAGAGGCATGAAATGCTACAGTTCTGTTGTCACTGTACAACTTTATGAATTTTGTTGAAAGTTCTGCTTTCACAATCTGAAGATAAGAGTTATTTTTCCATAGAT